CAGCGCCCAAATTCCAGTGCTTCCTGTCGCTTCCGCCTCCCCCTGCCTTCGAGAGATCTTACATCTCAAGAGCCGATAGGACCATTTCCAAATTGACTAGAGAGGCGCCAGTATGAATCTCTTTTTTTCCTATGCCGCGCAACGACGCTCGACATCAGGAGCCCGCCTCTCCAATCATCGATTCCAATAAGAGCGGCGGCCGGTGAGTGTGACGCCGTCACGGCGAGAGATGAATGTGCTCCAAACCGCCTCTGGGGGCCGTTCGTTTCACCCAGTCTGCCTCCATCGAGTGCGTGATATTAACGATCGGCGCTAGCGGGAGGACGCAGGGCGGACGGCCAGCCGGTGATGTACGCTCCGCCTGCGGCCGTACGGCTGATCCATTTTATATGTCGACCTGTCATTTCCCAATAAATAGAGACGGATCGATCGGCATTCGGGAGGGAGCGAGTTGGCCGATGAAGATCAGGACATCTCTGCCCGACGGCGGATGACCCAGACTGCTCTCCGGAGCGTCTGGACAGTCTCTGGGGATGGTGCGTCCTCCGGGGCCGCATTCCAGTCGCGTCCCGGGACACAGAGGCCACAGACATTCCAAAGCGTCTACTGGCAGTAACTCAGTGAAGAAGATGTTACTTGAAGGCTGCAGGAAAAACTATACCTGAAAACCAGAGTTAGGAATGAGAGATTGAAGTTCTTTTCATGAGACAAAGCCTCAAAAACCCCTGCCCAAGTTCTCAGACAGAGACCTTCCTCAACTAAGAGAGGGCTGCCACCATCTCCATCATCCGCGGCGCCGACAGTTGCCGTGGGCACCGTTCGGCTGACGTTTGCCTTGGCTGACGATCTCGGCCGCGACCTCGCCCGTGTCAGTTCTGTGCCCCGGGACACCGACTGACAGCCCGGCGACCGGCCGGCTGCCCCGCGCCTGACGTGGCCGTGTCCGAGCGGCCATGCAGCCCGCTAATTATCACTTTTTGCCGCCGGTGCGCCGCCGATGCCGCCGCCCGCGCCGTGTGACGTTTTTCCCCGGTTATTTTCACTAACTGGCACTATCTGCTGGCCTCCGGTGATCATCCAGATTGGCAATTTAGGAATTAATAATACACCGGCTATTGCGAGAAGGACGGTGAGGTTTTTGTTGGCGTCTTTTTAGAATATCGCCTTCGGAATGTGTATGGACAGTGTATGGACGAAACTAAATTGCCGCCTGTCCGATGATGCTCTCCGGTGGGATATGGCCGGCCCAGTGAGACGATCGGAGAGCCGCTGAAGAATGTTCACATCTCCCGACCGCTCCATAAACGTGATCATATTTTCAGATTAACTACCTATAAATAACCTAGCCCAAGAGTTATGAACATGCAAGAAGCATAAGCAGACACAGACACTCAAAACACTCGACTTTTTACTCAGCCATATGAGGCTCCAAAAGATTAGCTACCGTTTTGAATGAAACAGACGCCTGATCGTGAGACAATGGTGAGACAAACGGACGCCCACAATCCTGAGCGACTTTTTCTGACAGTTATGACGATAAAATATTCTGGAGTACGCAGGAAGTTCACGGTCACCACGATGTCTTCAAGGTCGGCACGCACGGAATCGATGCGCTGTCACATTCCCGAGATATTCAGAAACTGTCTCACACTTGGCCGAGAACACCGCTGGCGACTGTGAGATGCCGTCGTTACTCACACACGGCGTTCCAAGGAAGTACGTTGTCTGTCGTATATTTCACGCCGAATAACCTCTTGGGCCGTCCCAAGTGGTCGCTAGCCACGATCGGTTCCGTGAAGCGGCGTGAGAACTCGGTCGCTGCCGCGCCGGCCCCGGCGCGGGCCGGCGCGGCAGTGCCGGCCCGCGGCGGTGCCGTCTGACCCGGTGGGGTCGCCGGGTCAGCTCCGGGGGAGGCGGCGCGTGCCGGGTCACCGGTCGGCTGACCCGCGCCGCCGCCGCCGCCGCCGCCGCCGCTCGCGTGCCGCGGGAGCGCCGCACTCGCCGCCTGCGCGGCCGGCCGCTCGGTCACGTCAGGACTCCCACAGTCCGGAGTCGGAGCGGTGCACGCGCGACGCTGCTCGTGATATTGATTAGCGCCGCGGCTAATCGCCGGCGGCACTGGGTGTCGGAGAGACGCCTCCCGTCGGGCACGACCCCGTCAGCCGGGTGGACGTCCCGGAGCACTGGGAGGCCGGCCCGCTGTCCGCCGCCGCCGCCGCCGCCCTGACAGCCCCTAATGGGGGCCGAGCGCGGCTTCGAGTCGCGCTGAGCGGCGGCACGGTCACGACTCGGTCGGGACGGGCCGGCCGAGCGGCCCGCCGATGTCGGTCGGCCGTGTCTGCCGCCGCTAACAGCCGACAACTGACGTAAGCTGGCCAGATGGTACGGCCGCGCACCCACGGAGACACACAGCTCTGCATGCCGCCGGGACGGTAAGTGGGACCTGACACGGTCGACAGGCAGCAGAGTCTGCACTCGAAACAAACTGTCCGGTGACATGGGACGACGTCCGCTGAAAACGTCCCGTCTGCAAGGAATGGCGAGCCCTTCGTCAACACAAGCAGTGCTAAAAATAGCTGCTGTTCTGATGTATGCGACACCCGTCAAATAATCAGCACATGTTGGACAGTGAGACTCTCCTGACATTCGTGCACTAAGCTCACATTTAGTGTCCATCAGCGTCATGAGAGCCCGTCTCGCGCGGCTGCAGCGCTGACGCAGCGGCCGACTCTTCTGCGGGCGGCGTCTGTCGCGGCGTCCATTAGCCGCGGCCGGCTATAGATCACGGCCTGCTGGCGGGCTGGTCTCACGCGCCGAGCGCTGCTTTAGTGACGGCCCGCGGCGGCTCCCAGGCTCCGCCACCTCCAGCCCGGAGACGTCCTCGGCGGCGGTGGCGATCGTGAGGCGACACCCGTCTGCCCGAGTGGCGGGTGTCGCTCACCGACCGGCCACATCATCCACCCGCCCGGCGGCGGACGGCGACCGTGCCAGCCCCGCCACGAAGGCCCCATGGCCGTCGTCGACTCCGAGCCAAAGTCCGATGGATGGCGGTAACGACACTCGGCGCCCGCCGACGCTTAAGAGCCGCCGCCGATAAAGGTGTCGTTGTGCTGGTTTATGAGGTTTTCTGTCGGCGAGTAGCACTCTCCGGCGGCTGTTGGGAGCGTGGCACAGCCGTGTCGGGATGCCGCCGCCCTACAATGGGTTAGAGATGCCGCCCGGTGGAGGGGATGGATTAGCCACCGCCACGGGCCAGATTACAGTTGGGGTGCAACCGGTCACCTGTACCTACTTCTGCGCCCGAGGATAGCGGGAACGTGCCATAAAATCGCGGGCCAGAATACATCCGATGTTATACACAAGAGATTGGAATATATGTTATCAGGTGTACGAGCTGTCAGATAAACAAGAATGACAAAAGACGGTATGAGCCTCAGTGACCGATATTACACCACTTTGCTGCAGTGCGGCCTCTTTGAGTTCCCTCTCACCGCCCTGCACGGCTGTTACTGGTGTTACTTTACTGTGCTTTATAGCGGTCTCCCCGGTAATCTTGTTTTACTGCGGCCGGCCTTCGGTGCTAGTTTGTTGTGTTGCTCCGCAGTCACCGGCTCCAAGCAGCGCCGCGAGGTCCAGTGTTATGTTTGTGTGCGGCAGCGTAGTCTCCATTGAGCCACGTTTATGTGCTGTGTCGCAGTCTCCAGTGCTACTTTTACATGCGGCGCTGTCGTCTCCGGCTCTGCCGCTGAGTGATGCATTGCGGCACAGTCCGTCCGCAGGGGGCTGCGGCCGGGCATTTCGCCGGCCCTTCAGTGATAGGAACAATGCACTGACAGTCCAGCACCCGTCGGCAGCGGCCCATTTGGCGGCGCTGCGGTCAGCCTGCTCGTGGCACAATTATCACACTCTGACCACCGCAGGTCAATTATCACACTGCGACCGCCGCGGGCCAATTATCTCCGCCGCGGGCCAATTATCACACTCAGTCCGCCGCTGGCCGGACTGGCCGGAAAATCCGGCCATGAGTGCTCGGTTCCGCCGACTCCGCCCGCTCACCGCGCCTGCGCTGCCGCCCCCCATGACGTCGATATTAATCATCCCGCGAGCGTTGCACAACGGCGTCGGTTTGTGCGATCTATCACACCGCAGTCCGCACAACTGTCCCGTCCACTCCTGGAGCTGTTACGGCTCAAAGACTTACACAACAGAGCTTTTTAGCTCAATGAGACGTGACGGAAAACATAGAATTAAGTTCACCAAGAGCTGAATGAAAGAATGACCGGGCATCCGACAGTTTTAAACAAGCTCGCTTCTACAAAACTCACAGGCCATTACGCTATCTAGACGTGCGACGTTTGATATTGAGCTATTGCGGTTTCACTGGGTGAATAGGCATACAGCTCATGGGGTCAAGGAATTATTGAGCCAGCATACTGAATGGAGAAACGCTTCACTGTCGCCGGCCATTCGTATGTATGAGCCGGCCACAGACGCAGTGGATGAATGTTAGGACCGTTTAAACATGCTTGACAATGTCTTAACGTCATAATATTTCGTTGAATTGTAAATGAGCTGCATTTAGTCGCCCACATATATTTTGGCCGCCAGACAGATAAATGCATTATGCAACGCTAGAGAGGCTATTAGTTAATGAGCCACCCGAGTGGAAGAAATAACAGTGGCATCAGTATCTGATCATCTTCATTCATAAAGTGTTGAGGCAGTGCACAATAAAGATGTGTTTATCTGTGCGAGATATGCAGCAGGCGCATCAGCTGACAGCCAGCTAGCAGTTGAGCTGAACTAATCCACGCTAACTTGGTCATCCATCTGGGGCCCTGAACCCTCTCCGCCTCGGGCGTAATAAGCCAGTCTGGCGGCTATAGTAGTCCAACAGCCGCAATAGCAGGCCGCCCGGCCCCACTGCCCCAATGTCGCGCCAGCAGACTGTCTGCGCAGAGCCCCGTGCTGACCACCTCCCCTCTCTCTGTCTGTTGCAGAGAGGCGCCGCTATGATCGTCCCTGGTGAGATGCCGTTCGCGGCCCGTCTGGTGCGTCTGCCGGCCGCGGCCGCCGCCGGAGGACGGGCCGACCCCTCCAGTGACGATAGCTCGTGCAGTCCGCCGTCGCCGCCGCCGCCACCGCCGACCCCGCGCCGAGACCTGCGCACCGGCTGGAAGAAGCGCCACAGCGAGCGCTACTACCGCGAGCAGCAGCAGCAGCAGCGGATCCGCGCCAGTCAGGAGGCGCCCTACCCACGCTTCGAGCGCCGCCTCGAGGTGGACGTGCGCCCCTCGGAGGAGGTCGGCGGCAGGGTGGCCGGAGAGGTGCCCTACGACCTGTCGCGGCGGGCCGAGCACCAGCACATGTCCCCGGCCACCGACCCGAGCCAGGAGGGCGCCGCCGACCAGCCGCTAGACCTGACGCTGCCCAAGCCGGCCGCGCAGGACGAGAACATGAACGAGCTGCTGCCGGCCGACTGGCAGCCGCAGGACGAGCCCATGCCGCCAGCGGCGTCCCCCGCGGCGCCGGCCGACCAGCCGCCGCCAAAGTGCGCGGCCGTCGGGTCACCTCCCGTTGTCCCGCCGAGTCACTCCCCGGCTCCGTCCCCGCAGCTGCTGTCGCCGAGAGGACAGGTACATCCGGCGCCTCAGCCGGCCTCTCCTCCAGCGGGATCACCGAGCCTCCGCGCGGCACCGGCGCCCGTGAAACCGCCAGCGCAATCACCAATCGCACAGCCGTCCAGTGCAGTGAGTCACCCGCAGCCTCACGCGCACCATGTCCTTCAGCCACCAGTCCGGCCTCCGACCGGGTCGCCGACGCACCAGTCTGCACCAGTGCTGGTGCAGCACCCGTCCCGGTCCCCAGCGGCCCCCTCAGTTGAGTCGCGTCTCCATCCGGCAGCTGAGCAGCCCCTGCCGGCTCCGGCACCGTCACCTCTGCGCTGTCCTGCTGGGTCGCCTCAGGTGACCCTCGAGGCGCACCAGCTAGCGAGACCGCCTCCACACGTGCCGCCGAGGACCCCTGGACACCCCGCCGCCGGTTCTCCGGTCGGCCAGCCTCCGGCAAGCTCGGCACATCATCTGACAGTGTCGCACGCTTCGACCATCTCGCCCGGCCACATGTCCCACGCTCCGACCGGCTCGCCCAGCCATCATCTACCTGTCGGCTCGCCAGGACACCAGCTGCCCGCCGGCTCGCCCGGTCGCCAGCTACCTGCCGGCTCTCCAGGCCACCTCCCGGTCGGTTCACCGGGCCACCACCTCCCGCCCAGCTCCATGGCACACCTGCCGGCCGGTTCACCGCGCTCCTACCCGATGGTTCAGCCGATCCCGCTGCTGATGCGGCCTCCGGCATTCCGTGGCGAGCTGCCGCCGGCGCAGCGGCCGAGCTACCCGGCGCCGGTGGACCCGTCGGCGCCGGCTGCGTGGGTGGTGACCTCACCGGCTCTGTCGCCGCCGCGGGCGCAGCCTTACCTGCTGCCCGCCGGCCACGGCTCGCCGCCGGTACCGGGAGAGTTCGGACGGCCGCTGGTGGTGCATACTGGGGCCAGGGAGCTGACGCCGCTGGCACCGCTCCGACTGGCACCACGGCCCGAGCAGCCGCCCCAGGAGAAGCCGCCGGGAACGTTCCAGATGATGCGGGCTCAAATCGAGCCCATCAACGTGTCAAGGACGCAGACGCAGAGCACTAACCGTCTGAAGGATAAATACTGGTGCAAGTTCTGCGGCAAGAACTTCCCCCGCTCGGCCAACCTGACGCGCCACCTGCGCACACACACCGGCGAGCAGCCGTACAAGTGCAAATACTGCGAGCGCTCGTTCAGCATCTCGTCCAACCTGCAACGGCACATCCGCAACATCCACAACAAGGAGAAGCCGTTCCGGTGTCCGCTGTGTGACCGCTGTTTTGGCCAGCAGACCAACCTGGACCGGCATCTGCGGAAACACGAGTCGGACGGGCCGACCATCCTGGACGGCGCGCACCCTCGTCGGCCGTACTCTGCGCGGCGCGCCTCCCCGGCCGCCTCTGCCGCGGGCAGCCGCTCCGACTCTGACTCCGACTCGGACGAGATCGACGTCGAGACTCCCGACAGTCCGGACGAGCCTCCGCCGCTGAGGATCGACGAAACGGCCGGCGAGCCGGGCGGCGGCGCCGAGCTGGCCGTGGCGTAGCGGCTCGCCGCGGCGAGACTTGAGCCCAGTTACCTGAGCAGTGATGTAGCGTGCGTCCTGAGCGGCGCCCGGCATGGCGGCCGGCGCCGCCGAGCTAGTATTTATTGTGTCGCGGACGGCGTTGCGCGCCGCGCGGCGGTCGGTTAGCTTTCAGTGCACTGGTTGCCGGTTCACTCGGCTGTCGGGGGTGGCTGGGAGGGTATATCGGGACGCGGCGGCTGCTGTGCCAGCTGAGAGTGTTCGACGGTCGCGGGCGGCTCTCCGAGTCATTAGGGAACCGGCCGCAGATTGCTGATTCGCACCTGGATAACCGCCGCGTCCCATTGTTCCCGCACCACTATCGCCGATAATGAACGTGCAATCAAAGACATTGACAATAGAATGCGTATTTATACAATTGATATGCCCGCAACACATTCCATTTTTGCAGCCTAGACTAGTCATTGTTGGGTAATGACGGCCTTGTGTGAACGCTCGCAATAAAGCGTCGTCGTGAGAGAGGACCCGCGTTTCTCTCGCTCGCAGGCACCTCCGAGCAGCGTAGCGTGCTAGAACTGGAGCACTAATATCGCCGCCACGCCGGACTCTGCAGCCCGGCGGCGGCGGAACACGGGTCATCAACGGCCCGGTCAGTGACGGCACCACCGCGCGACAGCCGCGCCGGGCGCGCCGCTGCAGCGCAACAGGCTATTACCACGGAGGGACGCCACTGGTTTGTGATTATTGGCCATGCATCAGGAGCGGCCAGCAATTGGAGCACGTGTGCTAACAATAGCATAACTCACCGCTAATCGAATGCTCATCACGATCGGACGGAGCGCGCCCTAACGGCGCATTACGCCGGCCTTCTGAACGGCGGCGCATCAGTCAATGAACCACGAGCGCTGGCGCGGACAGGCCGGCCTGCCAGCGCCGCCGTACCCACTAACAAGGGCGCCCATTACAAGCGATAGCTCCACGGCGGCGCAGTTACTGGCATGAGGACGGACATCGGGAGATCAGATTACGGCTGCTATCGCCGCGCAGCACTGGGTCACTGTGATAACAATGGCCGCTGCATGGTATTTATGAAAATGAAGGCAGTCAGAAAGCGAATAAAATCAATTAGGTTGTCCGCCAGTCAATGATACGCCTCGTTTATCACACGGTATTATGGAGCTCTGGTCATTTCACTTTCGACCGTATCGGTTCATGTGAACAGCACGAGCTAATTCTACAATGACATATTGAATTTTTATTCATAATACGTTATCATTACCATAGCCGTTAAAACAAGAACATCGTGACAACCATGCTCGAAATAAACGGCTATCTACAATAAAATCAGTACCAAACGGCGCTTAAATTTTTGCAATAGAGTTTCAAGACCGGTCACTGGGCATTCACTACTCACTGAATAGCTGTCGTGGCACTATAAGCTGACATAGTACGCTGCTGAGATTCGTTCTTAAAATTTCCATTAAGTTTTGAACATGAATATACGGATAATTAGACCATATTCACTTATGATATTCATTGCTCATTCATGATTGTTCATATTTCTGCAACTAACAGAAGGCAACAATAGAAACATGCACGATTAAATAGGACCAGTAACGCACGTCATTTGATAACTTAGTTATATACCGACACCGTCAGTCAGATGGTATCGCCATTAGCAATTACCAAGTCATAACACTAAGATATCGCAAGGCCAACAAGTAAAACAGCTTAGTAGTAGTTACTTAAATAACTATGGGCACGGTACCTATAGGTAAGCAAGTATAAGATGCGTGCAGAGATGGAGCCAGATTTCATCATCAATGCAGTTCTTTTAATTCGACCCCAGAATGTTTACTTTCCCACATCCCACAGACATGACTCCTGTGACCCATCCTCAAGAGAAGACGAGCCACCGCCCCCAGCCTCGCGGTCCCGCACCCCACTTGCATGTTCATTGATTCATCTCATGTAGGTACGGTAGTAATGACTATTTAGCCCAGCGATTAATGCCAACTCTTGCGCCTGATTGGGCCCAAACACGAAACGCCACCACTAAATTATGTAAGCGTTTTATCACTGCGTTGGGATGTCTTTCATTGCGCTTCTTTATTATAACGTTGTTTCATTAAATTGCACGTTACGTGGCATGAGCACGAGATATAATGAGGCATGCAAGTGCAAATGTATAAAGCCGAGATACGGTCGAGAGGAGCATGCAATGGGAGCATCAGTCTCCGGTCTCCCAGATTCGTGTTTCTCCGCACTACTGGCCAAGTGTAGTAGGATGGCTTCCTTATCACTGATAGCAATGAGGTCTAGCGGAACCTGGACTATGTTTAGAGCTGAACTCTGCTCAGTGATGTGTTAAACAAACCGGACGGCAGGCAAAATAAGCATCACGGAGATGTGGTCGAGTGTGGCGTGGAGGGCATCGGCACCATCACCAACAAGGTGGTGGCCGTCTAATTCATGACACGGGAAAACCTTTCCCTCCTTGCAAAAGAACCGGGCAAGCAGAACAACGAAACGGGTTCTATTGGCTCTAAACCGTTTTGTTGCAGGACATTCAATTTTTCGAAGGTTTTGCTTTTGGGTATACCTATATCTCACAATAAAATGCCCGGAGTGTATTTCTCCGTTTCCCGGACGGTCTCCATGGTTCAGCCACCAGCAGACGGTCTGGCGTTAGTTCGGCCGTCTGCCGTCAGGTGTCAGCAGCGTCTGCCTGCCGCTGCGAGGCGTGGTCGCCCGGCCCGGGAGCTACCGGCACCGGAGACGGAGCGGGAGGGGGCCCGGGGGAGCCGACGGGACGACGGGACTCTACCCGGGGCGGGGCGGTTCCGCCTGCACATCCGCCCCGGCAACAGACGTCATCCACCGCCCCGAGGACGGCATTGGAGCGTCATCGGCCGGCGGACATCCGCGTGCCGGGCCGCCGCCGGAGAGGAGACCACGGCGGCTCTCAGAGGCGTCTGAGACACTTTCGCCGGAGCTCCTGGTGACTATCCTGCCCCACCCTGAAGGCGAACCCAGTCGGGCGAAAACGCGGACCGACACCTGGACAGAAGGCGCTCTTAAAACGTCAGATAGATAAACTTAAACCCTTAAAACGTCAGACTGAGGGACACACCGAACAGGACACCAAGCGCAAGGTGAGGCCGGGGTGGGGCCGGGGTGGGGCCGGGGTGGGGCCGGTGGGCCGGGCAGCGGGCAATCCCAACGGGTCCATGTTGCGAAACGGGCGGAGAATCGATGGAAGCCTGCTTATACCGACTCAAAACTCAAGCAAATTAAACAATCTATGCTTGGAAGAATAACCAAATTGATGACGTAATACGTATTACCTATTGTTTATTGCTTGTAACAATTTACCTTCTCAGGTTACATAATGGTACGATGCGAATTGCGAAGGCTCCTTCTCACTTCTACAGCCATTAGAGCTCCCAGCCTGCGATTTGGTCGCGTGACCATACTCATATCATGTTTAATAATTAGGTACGGATGCAGTGCACCACTATGAAGGACATCACGTTAAAAATGGAAGTGGCGAAAGGCAGACGATGGGCATTATTTCATGCGGCCCAAAATCCTCAGTCAGACGAAAAGAAAAGAAAAAAATATTGTCATAAGTTATGACACGTTTGCAGCTCATCTGCGCCTTACCTTATCATTGATGTGATGGCTGTCCCCTTTCAAAGATCATGATGAGGTCCGAGGTCGCTCTCTAACTTCTAAAGGCTTGTTCTCTCCTGCCGCCGCGCCGCCACCCGGCCAATTGAACCGGCTGTTCAGTGTTCAATGAGAGGCAGTTAAATGTTGAAAACATTCACCAAACCACTACAGTTGTCAATCCCCCGCTGAGCTCTACCGTACCGTCACCACAGCCACCGCACGAAATCACTCACTTATCGCAATAATCTTGCAGCCCCCACTGCGCACGGCCGGCCACCAGCACGACATCGACGACGCCTCTGGCCAATCATCGCCCGCGGGGGCGCCTCGGGCGACGCTGACCTTTGGCCCCGGGCACTCCGCCGACGGACCGAGGCGTGCCCCGCGGCTACGAGTGAGCGCGGGCGACGCAGCCAGCTGTGCAGAGGTTCAGGTGACCAAGAAAACGACGAATGGAATTGAGGTGAGTGACATCTATTTCTATCGGGTCCTCGTTATATTTGTATTTATTACATTGGCTAAGGAAGAGGCTTACACAAAGTGACGAAATGAATCGAAAGTTTTCCTTATCCATATTTCAAAAACCAGAAATGTCTCGAAAGTGCTTATTGCCTAAACATTTAGGTATATGCAGAACAAATTACACAGAAGACCTTAACGGCCCGTGAACGGTTAGAGGAAATCAAAAAGTGCATTACTTTTGCTTTTCTCTGCCTATTCACGGCCGTGCCCGTATCATGCATATGTATGCCACGTTATACATTATTCGTGGCTAAGAAGAATTGTATTACCAAAGCAAACTGTTCCAGTAGCATGTCCTAATAAACAATTCATTAGTTGACCACATCTATTTCTCCGTTTATCCTTGCTTTGGCCATTGGCATCGCAGCTATAAATATTCGTCGACACTGAATCAAGCAGCCCTCTACACTCCATTCCTGCCGATTTAATATCACGTAATGTCATCTCTATGGTGTATTTCCGGCACCGTGTTCAGACCTCACACATCCTGTACAGCTCCTGAACTCCCTCCACGCCACTGAACCAGTTGGCCGTCCACCTCTGGCAGGCGGTGACAGCGGCGCGCAGCACCTGCTCCCAGCCGGTCTCACAGTCCCGGCTCTCCGCGTCCCAGGCGCGCTGACAGGCCTCCCTCGGCCGGTCTACGGCCTCAGTCAGCAGACGGGTGAGTGTCTTCAGTCCCGTCGGACTGAGATGGGCGGCGGCTGTGAGAGCCAACAGCGCCGCCCGGCACCGGTCCGCCACGAATGCAGCACTGCGCTCGAACTCCGCCTGTAGCTGGTCGCGCGCCGCCGCCCGGTCGGCGTCCAGCTGCCGCAGCCGAGTCAGGTGGGCCTCCTTCTGTTCCACAGCCCACTCGACCAGCGCGAACAGCCGACAGTGCTGGTTGGGGTGGCCGAGACCGGGCCGCAGCCGGCGCTCCAGGTCGGCAGCCGTGTCGGCCCACAGCCGCTCCTGCTCGGACAGAAGCTGTACGCGCCGCCGGGTCACAGCGGCCGTCTGACGACAGAACAACTCCGACTGATGTCGGAATAGCAGGCAAGGGATCCGAGCAGCCTGCCGTGCGAACTCGGCAAAGTCGTCGCAGAACTCGGCGAAACAGGCCAGCTGGTACTGGGCGCTCTCCGTGTAGTACGCCTGGAATCGCGCAAACAGCGTCTCCAGAAGCTCGTCGTAGGTGGCTGGCACGAGGTCGGGTCGTGTCACGGCGCGGCTGCCCTTCTGCAGGTAGAAGTTGCTGGCCGTCTCTCGCGTCTCCTGCAGCACGTTCAGTATCTTCCATTGCACCTTTTGGATGAAGTTGTTGGAGTCGGTCGGCCGTTCGACATTACCGAATAAGAACGTGATCACCTCTGCTTCCTCCATTTTGGAGAGCCCCTGAGCGGCCTTTTTCTTGTCGGAGCGCCGTTTCTCTGTTTTGTTCGAGGTAGCCGCTGTGGTGACCGTGGCTGTCTCGGCGCTGGCGGACACGTCGGCAGTGTAGCCAGACTCGGCCGTGGCTGCTGTGCCGGAGCCAGTCGGGCTGGCCGGAGGAGAGTCGGTTCCGTCCGCCGGGCCGCCGGCCGACTCCGAGCCGCCGCTCGCCCCGCGGCTGGCGCTGGACCGGGTCGACCCCGCCCGGCGTCCCGACACCCCGCGGACCTTTTTAGTGGCGCCCCGGCGGCCCTTCCTGCTCTGCAGCGCCTGCCGAGCGATGGTCTCGTCCATACGCACGGTGGCGCCGCCGTCGGCAGGCGCCTGAACTACCGCCGCCGCCGAGCCGCCAGCAGGTGGAAGCTCTGTGCCAGACTGAGCCGCCGCCGGCTCCCCGTCCGGCCCTTCCGCTCCCGCCTCAGAGTTCGCGCCCGACTGAGGGCTCTCCTCTGAACTATCCCCGCGGAAATCCACCGTACCATCGAGCTGAGCGTAATAGAGGTACCGGTGGCGCGCGCAGATCTGCTCAAAGAGTTCCTCTACACGGCCGAGCGCGGAGGTGCCCTCCATGATACACCCGGAGACCTCCACAGAGTGCTCTTGCCACTGAACGGCCGCAGTCGGCTGGAAATATACACTCAGCTGGCTTTCCCTGCGCATGTTTACCTCCCATTTCTTCTCGTATTCGTCCAGCCTGTCAGCCAGGTTCCGGATCAGCTGTTTGGTCCCCTGTGTCTCCTCCTGGTTCAGGTGCATCTCTGACTTGATCAGTGTGTTGATGGACACGTAGTAGCGCTGCATGGTCTCCGAGAACTGCACGTCGCCAATCTGCGCTCGGATGCTGCCCTCGGCCTTTTTGATAGCTTCATCTAGCGCCGCGCAGAAAAGCTCCATCCTATGTTCCAGCGTCTTGCACTGAATCTTCCCAGTCTGATCAATGGTCATCAGCAGTTTCTTCAGCGTCGCCTTGTACTTGACGATCTCCTCATTGCTGAAGTTGCCCACCTGGGGTTGTGTGGCACCCGCCTCGTCCCCCTCTGCAATATCCTCCTCCTTGCTCCTCCGTCTGCTGACTCGTCTGCTGACCGCCAGCTTACTGGAGCGTGTGGAACTAGCTCGCCGCTGGGCCGCCGGCGCACCAGACGCCTTTCTCGCCTCCTGTCTGAGGACAGCGACCCGCACGCTGTCAGTGCGGCCGGCGCCGGCCATTGACGGCTGCCGGGACGGCGGGGGCACCTCGGGCGGCGGCTGCGGCACCAGCTGGTGCAGGAAGGCGCGAGTACTGGCCGTCAGATCGGCACTGAACGTCTCCACGCGCTGCCGGAATGAGGCAGACCGCTCCACCAGACTGTCAACAAAGCGCGCCTCGCGCTCTCCGATCTGCGTCAGCATCATCTGCAGGACGTAGCTGCGAGAGGCAGAGCGGGAACGCAGCTCGTGGGCGGCCAGCCAGGCACGCTCCTCGTCCAGCCGCGCACGGATCGCCTCCATTTCACCCGACTGCTGCGACTGGATCCACTGCGAACGGGACACGTGGATACATGGATGTACAAATACCCGGGGCGGGTTGGAAGATGTGGTAGACAGGCGTATGGAATATGGATCCACGGACAAAAAAAGGACATACCGACATGCGGTGGAAAAACCACACCCGGGAACATCGACACACCAATACACGATTGCGTAATACATATAAGTAGAATCAGACATACGGACAAACAGATACACAGATGTACTTGCTTACGGACATCGATACCTATATGAAGGAATCATGGAACCCGCATAAATGTACACCCGCATTTATGTACATACAGTCTGTCTAAAAAGTACTGCGCAAGATAACGGTGAATCCATCAAGCCTGACCGAGCAAGGGCCTGCTAAATTTAAGTCACCGAAGCAATTGACATCCTCGTCCATTCCCCAGGTCAATTGGTTCGGTGACTTTTAAATTATAGCAGGCCCTGCCTCGGTCAGGCTTGATGGATCCACCGTTCCTTTGCACGATTCTTTTAAGACAGACTGTACATCGTACACGGAGAAAAAGAAACCACGGATATACATAGGGAGAGAAACCGCTACAAAAATATGCAACACACGGAAAGATCGCCCACATCGCTATACCAATACATTTGCTGATGTATGCGCGATTGTAAAGTGATGGAGCCATACGTGAGGAAATTATTGCGAGTGTGAAACCCCGTAATCAGAACCATGCAATTGACACGTTCGTAATTGTAGGATGGTTCATAGCCGATAAGTACTACATGAGATGAATTCATTATTCAATGTAATGGAGAAATGGCGGAAGTCATTTAGAAGACTTTTTTCTGACGTCAGAAATTACAGGCTAGAAGCAATGAAGTCAAATGCAGTTGTCTCTCATTTGGCCGCCACTCCCAGCCATGTAATCACAAGTGGCACCGAATCCTGTTGGACCAGGGCCACTGGCAAACATAAATACTCCGTGAATGACCCCCTTGACTGCCCCGCCCGTGCATATTAAACACATGTTCAGCCGTGCGTGCCCATGCATGCCAACGGTCCGCTGTGGGCGGGGCGGTGTCTCGCTCTGGCCCGGTATGCCAGGTGGCCGGGCAGTGGGCACTGGGCAGTCGCATCTCTGTCCCCCAAGGCCACGAGCTGGACCGGGCGGGGCGGGTGGGACCCGGGGGAGGGAGGGGCCCGGGGGCTGCCCACCAGCAGCAGGGGCCGTGTCCCGTGTTCCAGATGGTATCGGTTCTACCTCCGCCGCTCCCTACCCCGCGGCAGAGTTGCAGAACATCCCCGCGACTGCAGCTACCCCCTGCTCTGCTCTAGTTGCACTCAATCAATGAGCTGGGGGCGCGAGAGAGGGAGTGATATTTATCACAGCGCCGCCCAGACTCCACCCAGAGAACCAGGCTGGACCGGACCACGCCAGACGGGACCAGACGGGACCATGTGAGGCATGGATGAGACCAGACAGAACCGGACCAAGTGTAAATACCGGACGACTGTGCGGGACACTTGTGAGAATTGAATAGGAGTTGAACAGCAGGAGTGGTCCGGAATTGCCAGAGAGGCATAAGTCCAAGCCCCTGTGCAGCACACCTCGTGATCAACGTCCGAGCACAATGAACAGCGCGCCCGGCTTAGCACCGTGTACCCACCCTGAGTACGTAGTACACGAACCGGCAGTGGCTAGGGCAGCTGCATCTCCGTATGAACCCACCTTTAGTTCGTCGTGCACGGACCGGCAGTGGCTGTCGACCCTCTGCTGGTGCAGCTGTATCCCATATGAACCCACCTTTAGTTCGTCGTGCACGGACCGGCAGTGGCTGTCGACCCTCTGCTGGTGCAGCTGGATCTCCGTATGAACCCACCTTTAGCTCGTCGTGCACGGACCGGCAGTGGCTGTCGGCCCTCTACTGGTGCAGCTGGATCTCCGTATGAACCCACCTTTAGTTCGTCGTGCACGGACCGGCAGTGACTGTCGACCCTCTGCTGGTGCAGCTGAATCTTCGTATGAACCCACCTTTAGTTCGTCGTGCACGGACCGGCAGTGACTGTCGACCCTCTGCTGGTGCAGCTGGATCTCTGACGAGCGGCGGTCGTGAATGGTAGTCTCTATCTCGGCCGTTCTGTCGACCAGACAGAGATCACGTACAGGCTCAGACACGTCACGCCAATTGTGCTTATCTTTTTTCGTTTCACGGAAATATGCCTCAGTTTATCTCGTAATTCATTCGTCATTCATAGCCCACACCAAAAGCCATAGGAGTCGCCAGAGATTTTCGGTTGGGGGGGCAAAATCAACTTTCGTGTTAAATCTTGGCTTTCTCCAGTCGTTACTCATTCATTTTACATATCATTCGACGCGTAATGGTGCGAGGAATACGATGGTGACAAGGTTTCCCTTCTAGTTATGACATGCCATTTTTTACAGAAATTTCAAAATTTTGAAATTTTTGGACAAAAACACGACCGGTAGAATCACAATGGCTGCGATTGCCGACGCACTCTAGAGAGCCCCCGTTCAGACGCTCGTCGCTCATGATCATCACCCAGAAAAAAGGTTAAAAACGCTCAGTAAGCGAATCGCCTTGCTGAAACCTTCATTCACGCATGCATGCAGTCGCAGAGGTTCTGCATGAAATGGGCTCATCCTAGCTCACTCAAGGGCTCATCCCAGCCGCCGATAGCTAAGTTGGGCTTTCGGCGGAGATTGAATGTCGGAACTCACGGAAGTGTGGATCGGAAGTACCTAATTCATCTTTGCTTCAGTGAGAGGAGGTATGTGTGAACAAAAAGTTTTTCGTTTTTCGTGTGTAGGAAAGCGCTGCAAACGCGAAGAAAAGATAACGGAACCAAAATTTCGCACGGCATAGCGGCAAGGGATCCCTTAGCGACAGGCTTGGGACTTCCAGGCCATTTTAGGCCACTCAGGGTCAGTGTGGGCTCTCAGAAGCCTGCTTAGGATCCTGAAGATCGGCGTTGGTCACCCCAAATATAGTAGTTACGTGTATGTGGTGCTTTTTCCGAGCCCAAGGTGGGGCCCTCAGAAGCCAGTGTGGGCGGCGGGCGCTAAGAGACCAGGCCCAGGGTGAGCCGTGAGCCCTCAGATAGCAGTGTGAACCCTGGAGGTCTGTGTCGAATCCCTAAGGACCCTACATAAGGACATAAGAAACATGTGCTGGGACCCTCAGAGGTACACGTGAGTTGTGCAAAATCTGTCGCCTCAAAAGCTCGACTGAGCTATCAGAGGTCTAGGGTTCTCAGAAATTTTTGAAAGTATTCTCAAAGATGCGTGTGACCCTTCAGAGGTCTACGCATGTGTAAGGTCCTCAAAGATCCCTGTATGGGCCCTCAGAGAATATGGACACCAGTGGGACTCTCAGAGGCCGGTTTGGGCCCTCTGAAGGCTTCTTAGAGCTCAGTGGAGCTCCTTCGGAGCCTGTGTGAAAAGCAAGCTCATGAGCCCTGTGGCACTTGAACGGTACTTGAGTCTGTCGCAGACATTTGACGAGTTAAGAAGGCCCGAAAATTTAGTGTCACACTTTGAACGGAAATTTTGTGTCAGCACTTCAAAACTTATGAAAATCGGCTATTAAATGTAATAAAGAACCAACTAGGAACATGGAATTGTAGCGGGGTTTCGCGGCGTTGCGGGGCTAACCGGGCAGTGTCTTCTCAGCAGGTGGGCTGGCTCGAGTGGGGGTGTTAAAATCGGCCTAGTCGGTGCGCATCTACTCGTAAAAGCCCTTCTCGGTTCAGCCCCTCGCGAACTCGTCCCGACTCTGTCTTTACATTCTCCGGGGCGATCAATCATCGGAAACACATAGGCCAGGGTTAAGGAATGGGAGGAGGGATAATATTAACCTATTACCTTGATCACACTGAAATACGAACCCAACTCTACTAAACAAAGGTCCCACTCTCAAACAATAGCACCCGTCCTAGCTGAGGGTTATCTCCCACCGGATATACATGCCAATCATACGTTCATTTGCCCGTCCCCTCTCATTTCTGTCATACGCCCAGCCATACCTTATAAATTATCAGAGTTAACCATCTCTGATCCCTCCCCCTTGCCTAACTTCCCCCGGTGGTGCTAAGGCGTGCGCAAGTCGTAATTAAGTCGTTGACCTTAGATTTTATTAACCGTTATCCCTTCATAACCACAATGCTCCGTACATCAAACGAACGCTTCATAATGCTCACGCTACACAATTAGAGATACGACCCACCACAGATTTCGGCACTCGACCCTCGCGTTACGTGACTTATTGCGGTCCATCCTATCACCATGTCGAACTATCTACACAAAAAACATAAATGTCCTTCGGCCAGCGGTTCCGAGACTACGGCTCGCAGGACACTGTGTAGTCCGGTTTCCGCGGGGGGACTTATTTGAAATTTGAGACCGGGGCTGGGTAACTAAGGTCCGTCCGGGCTGCCTGCATCGTCTCCGTATAGCCGCGGTTTTCGGGCCAGCCCCCGGCGACCGAAAGGGATTAGTCGTTCGTCGGCTTTACACGAATCCATGACTACCAGTTGTGCCAAATTGCCTATAAGAAAACGAAAACTAAGCGTACCACGGCCCGCGGTGGGCTTATCTAAACTTTGAAACCGGGCTGGGTAACTAGGTCCGTCCGGGCTGCCTGCATCGTCTCCGTATAGCCACGGCTTTTGAAACAGCACCGGCGACCGAACGGGTTAGCCTCCGTTGGCTTCACACAATCCACGACTACCAGCGTTATAGGTGCCCGAAGCCCTATCTATCCGTTGCTGGTAGTTAAGCTGTCGTCACAGACCTATCCGAAATGACCGCTGCACGGCCGGAGTAAATCGACTAACAGCGGGGTGGCCAGTACCGACTTACCGCGATCACCCGACTCGCATGCTTTGGTATTTAATGTTCACCCCCGTCCTGCAGCATCACACGTTTCTTCGCGGGACATTACTTAACCGGCGGCATACGTCTCCTCGCTGGGACGCCTGGGGTCCTAACCATCTCCGAAACTACCTACGTCGCTTATCGAATGTCATCCTGCGCTGATCACTCAATGGACCGATAGCGGACCTAACCTATCTTTTAAAACCGGGCGGGGTCACTAGGTCCCTCCGGGCTGCCTGCATCGTCTCCGTATAGCCACGGCTTTATGGGGCCCGCGCCGGCAACCGAACGGATTAGCCTTCGTCGGCTATGCACTCATCCTCAATAATCGATCCTCAACTCGCTCTCATCCCTTCCCTTCACTTCGCGACTTATTGCACGTATCCAGGGCTTACCCAAGCGAGGCCTACTATTTAAGTGGGGTCTATCCGAGCCGAGCTTCATTCAGGAAATCCGATTCCTTTACGTGTACAGTCTTCTTCCATTTCACTCGCTTCTCATCTCCCTCCTAACCCGTAGCCGCGTCGGTGGACTTCCCACGCACAGGGGCGTGACGTGCATTATCTGTCCCCTTGGAGTCCCTTATTCATCTTAGGTGCGGGTTGACTTTAGTGGGGAGGATTTACTGAGACTCTAGCTCGAACTAACAACTCGTCTTTCTCGTTCTCGTCCTCCACCGTCACCTTTTTTTTCAAAGTTAAGCCACCGACCAGTGCGGACCAGGCTGAGCGGAAATCCCTTAGTTGAGGCCGTTCTGGGTTGGAAAATGGGAACGTATGACCCGGCCAGTGCTGACCAGACGAGGATAAGCAGCTCCTGTGCGGACACTGTTAGGCAGGAGGATGAACAGCTCCTGTGCGGGCGCTGCGTTGGTCTTAGGACAGGAGGATAAGCAGCACCTGTGCGGGCGCTGTTAGGCAGGAGAATGAACAGCTCCTGTGCGGGCGCTGTTAGGCAGGAGGATGAACAGCTCCTGTGCGGGCGCTGTTAGGCAGGAGATTGAACAGCTCCTGTGCGGGCGCTGTTAGGCAGGAGGATGAACAGCTCCTGTGCGGGCGCCGTTAGGCAGGAGAATGAACAGCTCCTGTGCGGGCGCTGTTAGGCTGGAGAATGAACAGCTCCTGTGCGGGCGCTGTCAGGCAGGAGAATGAACAGCTCCTGTGCGGGCGCTGTTAGGCAGGAGAATGGACAGCTCCTGTGCGGGCGCTGTTAGGCAGGAGGATGAACAGCTCCTGTGCGGGCGCTGTTAGGCAGGAGGATGAACAGCTCCTGTGCGGGCGCTGTTAGGCAGGAGGATGAACAGCTCCTGTGCGGGCGCTGTTAGGCAGGAGAATGAACAGCTCCTGTGCGGGCGCTGTTAGGCAGGAGAATGAACAGCTCCTGTGCGGGCGCTGTTAGGCAAGAGGATGAACAGCTCCTGTGCGGGCGCTGTTGGGCAGGAGAATGAACAGCTCCTGTGCGGGCGCTGTTAGGCAGGAGGATGAACAGCTCCTGTGCGGGCGCTGCGTTGGTCTTAGGACAGGAGGATAAGCAGCACCTGTGCGGGCGCTGTTAGGCAGGAGAATGAACAGCTCCTGTGCGGGCGCTGTTAGGCAGGAGAATAACCGGCCAGCACTGAACAGACGACAATAAGGGGTGGAATCGGTTCGGATGTTTGAGGCCAGCCTGGCCACTCCCGTGGTCTCCGAAACGTGTATAGTTCTGGTCGTCCCGTACGCTGTACTACCAAACCACTGAGCCAATCACTGACGGCCGCGCCGGCCGGCTCCACCCACCTTGAGATGGATCGGGCCCAACGGGCTCGATAAACTACCTGGGCCCTATCGGATTTGGATGTCCCTTGAGAACCAGGCAGACGAGAAGAAGAACTGTTCTGTTACCAAATACTATGGCGAATTGGATACCTCGAAACCACTTCCTCTCCCGCAACGACTTCCTCTCCGGCTGTGTAGATGGCATATGGTCTGTGACATTTTACTCTCCGGTCCTTTCCTTTCACCACTCCTTACACTCGTATTACAATATGTACAAGTCCCATTTATTGACATCTTCCTGACACAATGCTTTAAAATCCTGTACATGTCAAACTTGGAAAAGAACGTTCCGTGACCAATGACCAGGCCGTCCGGCAAGTGAGCCTCACACGCTGCGCGGTGCGGTACAAAGTCGCCTAGCCCCTTTCCGACTCACCATGGTACATAATCCCCTCCGTCCGTCTTGATCACCACGGAGCACCAGACGAGG